AACCAAACCATAAATGTTTTTCAACCTTAATCCACATCTTTAGGATTGTTACCATAACGACAAATGTCTGGCATGCCCACCACTGGTACGCTCCCAAACGTCGTATTATTGTTACCATGTCGACAAAGGTCCAGTATGCCTGCAGCTGATACGTAGTGACAAGTGACCTGTATTGTTGTTTAAGTTGGACTACTTGTTGGTATTCTCTCACATACTTGTGACATTTACAGAGAGACAGATAATACACCTCTTTCCCACTGCTGTCATGGACTTTTTCAGAAGATACATAAAGGCTGATAGAAACAACATCATTGGGCAACCGAATTTCTTCCGATTTTATTTTTTATAAACAATGATGCCGAGACAAAATGTCTTAAAGTAAAAGTATATTTTATTTGGGAAATGTAGTGCAGGAGTGAACGTGAAGGGTGATAGAAATATAAAAACTCAAGTAAAATAAATATGCTCCCAAAAAATACTTAAATACCACTGGTCTAGACAACCTATGGTCCAGCACAGAGAGCCTGAGTGAAAAGAGACAGAGAGGCTAAAATAGAGAGACAGAAAGAGAGAGAGAGAGAGGGAGAGACAGTCAGAGATTGTCAGGAAAAAATATGCTGTTAGTACAAGGTTTAACAGAGCGACGGAGGCTGAAGGCCTGAGGAAATCAAACAAATAGCAATTAATTGATAGTTAAGGTGAAGAAAATGAGTTTTAAGTTTGGATTTAAAGGCCTCCACAGAGTCAGACAGTCTGATGTCAGCAGGGAGGGTTTTTTTTAGATGAAGGGGGCCTGATAGGAAAAGACCCTGCAGCCAGCAGGCGTCTTTCTTAACTCTGGGGAGCCCTGTACTCAGAGAACGCAGAGCAGGGGATGGAATAAAAGGTTTAAGGAGATCAGACAGGTATGAAGGGGCCTGCCAATTTAAAAATTTTGTAAGGCATGAGAAGCACATTAAAGTGTGATTTGACATGGACAGGGACCCAATGGAGGGAAGCTGAAATGTTAACTGCAGCATTCAGAAGCATTTGAAGAGTTAGTAGAGGCCTGTGGCAGGGAAGTCTGGGTGATAACAAAGGAGCTGATTTGGCTCTCGGGCAGAAAGAACAGAAATGTCTTGGTGATGGTGACATCTCAGCCGCAAAGCAGCAGTGGAGTATGATATGTCAGTTATGTACAGTATTGGGCAAGTTACTTGTAAAACATTACATACTACCTAATTACATGTTCTATTTTTATCATATGTCGAAACAGAATGAAGAATTAAGGTTTTTAGACATGGGAGAGCTAAGACAGCTGTCATGTAGTAGAAAGTCTAACTAAGGAGCAGTGATAATAGTGAACAGAGCTCATTATGCATCTATTTCAGTACGACTCTGCAGGTTCCTCTTCACTCCTCTTCAGAGCTGCCTTCGGTTGAAAACATCAGTATCTTGTTCACACTGAGATTAATGATTATCTGTCTACATCCTGTTCAGACCTGAGCTCAAATTACAGTCATGTCATATATGTGGTATTTTATGTTTTATGCTATATTTAAATATGTGGTGTGGTTGTATGACTGCTAACTTGGCCAGAGGTTTTTTTTTTTTTATCTCAATGGGACTTCCTGGTAAAAATGAATTCATTTCAACACAGATCTATAATGTGCACTGGAAGTTGTATACTTGTATAAAGTTTGAATAAAGAAGAAGAAGCAAGATTGAATAGAGGAGTGTACTGACCATAACAACTACCAACAATGAAGCTGCAGGTCTCTTACAACCTCCGACTAACATTAGCAAGCCAGCCAAGAGACGCAATATGTAAATAAGACAACTTTGGAGCTACTGGAAGGTGCATTTCTGCTCTTTTGGGAGACACTCAAGCCTCTGCACCAGGCTAACACTGTCTGTTTACTGTACGCTGAGAGACCAGACTGAGACAGATCCATCAAACTCCTGTCAAGACAGCAAGAAATCCAACAAAGGGTTGCAGGGGTTAGATTCCATATTTTTCACTTTTCTGGTGTTTTATTTGAAATTGATACCCATAAGAAGATATAGTATATATCTCTGGTTGAGAGCGGTGACTGCTTTGTTGTGACATCACAAAGTTCAAGAAGTCCTGACGGCTGGTTTTAAGGCTCAGTTTGTACAGGCTGCGCTTTGATACTTTCACAGTATTAATATAGAACCTAGACCTGCTTTATAATCAAACTACACATGGACATCTGCCTTTAGACTATATAGACCTTTAATGTAATACCTGCAACTGGAAAATTACTTGATTTAACTGAACCTCATGAACATAGACAGTATATGCACATTGGCACAGTTGAAAGGGCCCAAAGAGCTTAATTTAAGATCTGCTGTTGAGATGAATGTGAAATATCCGTCTGCTGTTCTCTCTGTATCTATTTTACTGTTTATACACAAACACACTTGTATCTCCAGCTCATGCTGTCGTGTGTTGATTTTTTCAGAAAGTGAAACTGTCTACAACAAGTGTGATAATCAAACGAGATAATGCAAGTGCGAGATCGGGAATTACGACAAGTCATTTTCATTTGACGCGGTCTTTGTGCGTCCCTCGTTCGGAACGATCTTTGGCCTGTGGTCCCTCGACAATAGAGTGATACACACACTGCCTGTTTGATATGATGATGTCTATCATTGTGACGGGCACACTAGGTCAACACTGGTTAACAATAGTGATGTTTGGCAGGATTAGTACAGACTCACTATTAGTACGGACCCATATTTGGCAATGAAAAGGAAAAAGAATTATCTTATTTGTTGGTTTATTTATTTATTTGTTTATTTGTTTGTTTTTATCTATCACATTTTTAGCTCATTTGATTTGAAATAATATTGTTTTTACAACAATGGAAAAAGGGCCAGATTTGATATATTTAACAAATATGTATTACAGTTTTCATTCAGCTTGTAGCCACAGATTGCATGTCTATAACACCTGATTTACTAAGACAGCAGCCCTCCAGATGCATTCTGGGATTGAGGAAATATTTTTATCCCGCTATATCCGGACTATGTGTTTCTTTTCTTGTCAAATAAACAGCTGATTTGGTTCTTCAGTTAAAGCCCAGCCTCCCTCTCCAGCGCTCAGCCACCTGGCCTCTGGGCTTCCCCACTGATGGCCGGATCTGGCCCCCGTTTCCACTGGGGCCCCCCAACCCTACCCACAATCAACTGACATATACACACCACACACCACACACCACACACCACATACACAAGCTCCTCTTTCTTCCTTTTTTCTTTTTTTGTTTTGTTTAATTAGGTTATAATTATAGGCGTATACATGTTGATACTGTATGTTTATGTGTGTAGTGTGTAGCAAAAACTAGATACCGTCTGCAATTTCTATCATTATTTTTTTTTATTTTGTTGTCTATATTTACACTTGTCTTCTCTTGTTTTGTAATCACCTGATAAAAGGAAAAAAAGCACTACATTTCACAACCTATAACTTTCTGAAATAAATTCTGGAAGGAAAACTAGTTTCAGACACACAGTTGACAACTTGATGCATAATGACAACTGGTGAAAGACAAGTGAGAGGACAATTCATTATTGTGTGTTTTCTCCCCGAGCCTGTGTTAATTACTGCACCTGTTGTACTGGAAAGGTTGAGGATTATGTGCCTTGCTCTAGGGAATATTGTTAGTCAATGGTGATGAAAATGTCTCCTCTTTTCATGGCTGTTTGAATGGTGGATAAATTAATTGTCAGCCTGAAAACAGAGAGCAATATATTATTTTTCATTCTCTTTTACTGTTTACGGTCAGCAGCACATTACGCATATAGATTGTTAAAGGTCCATATAGTCTAAAGGCAGATGTCCATGTGTTGTTTGATTATAAAGCAGGTCTAGGTTCTATCTTAATACTGTGAAAGTATCAAAGCCTCAGTCCACAGAGAAATGCACACTGCCTGTATTCAGAAACTGAGCCTTAAAACCAGCTGTCAGGACTTCTGGAACTGTGTGATGTCACATCAAAGCAGTCACTGCTCTCAGCCATGCCCCAAGCCCCGCTCACCTGGACCCAGCATCCAACTTTGCAGGATTTGGTTTCTCTGAGTGTTTACCTGAAATTTGCTGTATTTTTATTGGATCATTCAGAAAACAGACAGTCAGCCAATCAGAAGAGAGGATCAGCGCCTCCTCTCTTCTGATTGGCTCCCCAACCTGTTACTACTGTTACTAGAGCTCCAGAGAGAAGCCTGAGAGAGGAGATGTAAAACTGAGATGGTTTTTGGTTCTTAAATCCACAATTATATCTTCTTATGGATCAACACTTCAAACAAAAGCACAAAAAGTAAATTGTTAAATATGGACCTTTAATTAGAACAAGTTGGAAACATTGCTATGTTCACCGTTAGTAATTGCTGTTCTGTACACGAGTGCATGTGTTCATCATCATCATTTAAAGTATGTTTGTGCATGCTATTGTGTTGACAACAAGGTATTATTGTTCGTGACAATCCCCCATTCCATGACATATGAGGTGGGCTACGTTTCTGAATGTTTGGCTTTGACACAAAACAAACAATGCAGTTACGTCCAACCAGTCCAGCTCAGCACAAAAGATGTTTTCCTGGCTGTGCCACACAAAGCTCTTCCCATCAATACACAACATGCTGTGTTACGTGGAAGATGAAAAATGGAGGCCTTCCCTTTGTGTATGTCTGGCAGTGAAATCTCACTTTTGATTCTCACAGTTAATCACATTACATCACAGCCGCTCAAAGTTGAGCCTGTCTGCTGCGCTGGTACTGTTATTCAATTTGAAGGAACAATGAGGCTGAGAAAGTATTTGTTTTTAATGGCATCTGTGCAATTCTAAATGGATTTCTGGATGGCTGCTTTGGTCTGTTTGTGCTTTGAAGTTTTTCTCTGTAGGGATTTTTTTTCTGGGGTGGGGGGGTGGCTGCTTTCAAAATTCACTTTACTTCATACAGATGTTTTTTGTCTTTCTGTCTCTTTCTATACACAGACTCGGAAGTCATCTACAGGAACAGTGATGGCCACGTCATCAAGTTCAACATCCTCACAAATGAAACAGAGATAGTCCTGACAAACACAACATTTGTAAGTATATGTCAGTCTTGCACACCGTATATATATTTTTCATCATAGTATAGTGTATGTATTTATCTTGCTCTTTTTTATGTCTTTCTTGTTTCCACCAGATAAATTTCAATGTGGCCAAATATGCTGTCTCCCCCGACCTGAAATATGTTCTTTTTGCTTATGATGTGAAACAGGTAAGTTCCTTATCAGCACCTGCACAATGATTGTTTTTGCATAAAAAAGAAATTATATTATATTATACATACATACTGTATATGTGGATTGTGTAGAGTAGTTGAGAACATAGACAGGGAACTAATGACAGACTGATCTAAAATAATCTGTTTTGCAAGTTTTCATGTAATCTCATGCTATTTGTTTAAACTGCACTTGTAAGTCACTGATGTCATGGAGCATTGTAGATTATTGTCCACAGTGGGCTCAGGGTGCAGCAACTGTTTTCCTAGTGGAGGAGTAAGCAATTTTGGAGAACTCAACAGCAAAACAAGACACCCCTCTCTTCAGTAGTTCTTCAGAAGCCCCCCCCCCCCCCCCCCCAAAAAAAAAAAAGCATGGACGTGCATTGCCAAGGCAACACCACAATGGCAGAATCCAGAGCATTTGATACCGCGTGAATGTGAATACTCTTTCTCATCACTGAAGCAAAACAAACCTTATAACACATCACCAAACAAATGACATGCACACAAACATCCAAAACACAATGGAGTAAAAATGAGAGTTATTTGTTTAGACAGAGGAAGAGGACCATCGATTTGTAGCTATGCTAACAAGGAAGGTAAGGTTATCAAGCACAGCATTTCAATATATGCATCCTATGCACCGTGGTCGGACTGGCCATCAGGACTAATAGGACAAATTCCGGTGGGCCTCGGCAGCAGTAAGTCAGATTCAAGTGCTCCAACACATTTGTCGGCTGGTGGACCACCACATCCATAGTGTTTTTACTGGCTCGCTCTGTGTGCCTGCCATTCAGGGTGCAGGCCAGTCCCACCTTATTAATCCAGGGCTGAATTTCTTTCCCATTCTGACTGTGTAGTCTCCGCCATTGGAAAGCCACACTGATGTTGACACAGCTCTTCGTCCTTGCCTGACCACATCACTTCTTGTTCAGTTTTTGTTCTTACCTTTTCATCTTTGTTCCTTGGCCTTCTTGCCTTCTGATTATGTTGTGGCGTATACACTGCCATCACGCTGCTACTGGGAGATGTTCCACCCATTCACTCACTTAAATAATGCTGCCAGTCTCTCGTCTGCAATCCCAATAAATCCAATTCAAAACTCCACATGGTGTGGCAGCGACAGAAGGGTAGACAGCTCCTTCTCTTTCCTCTGCTAATACTTAAATTAGCACTATTCATTAGTATGCACCAGATTTGCCGTCTCTTGTGCCCACTGCCTTTTCCCCCATCTCCCCTTTTCTCTTCTTCTTTCCCTTGTCCTGTGCGGACAGCGAGCGGATAGTCATTGAATTTGACAAAAAATGTATTGGATCAGAATCACTTTCTCCACTTTTAAGTAAAAACAGAAATTTAAAATTACCGTATTACAAGTTAAAGGCCTTGATTCAAATTGTTACATGAAATTACAGAAGTATTATCAAAGAAAATTTTCTGTCCTAAGCATGAAATGAAAAATCTTCTTAGAAGTGGTCAGAATTATTTTCTCAGCCTTCAGAAGCTCCTGTAGATTAAACTTGGCTAATGAAACACTTAATAGAGTGTAGTAAGGATGTAATGACTAACTCTTAAATACACATTACAGACTTTAGACACTCCGTAGCCGAGCAACTTTAAGGCTGCAAACAGCCTACGATGTAATACTCGATGTGGGAGCAGGTGTTAAAGACTCACTCCTTTCAAAAAGAATATCTAATGTTGTGAACATGTAATTATCTCGCTCCGATTATAAGACGACTCCCACTTTTTCAAAGCAAATTTCCATAAAAACATACTGTCTTATATAATCTTTTATCCTCATCAGTATCTTTCAACAAAACCTGTATTTTTGTATCTTTTTTTTTACTTTTGTATTTACAGGTTTTGCATTGGCATGTAGCCTGTCATCATTTTCATTTTCATGCCTGTCAATAATAATAATAATGATAATAATTAATAGAAAATAATTCAGTGCAACTTCCTTGTCAAAAATATGATCACAGACTTTAGGCAGCAGGCAGATAATAGATGTCCATCAATAGTGCTGTTCCAGACTCTGAATCACCACCGTCATCACTGGATTGAAATAGATATGTTGTGCTCATTGACACCTGTTACAGAAACAACTGATCCAATCAGAGCACTGTAGGCAAGATTAACAATGATAATATCAGTTTTCTGCGATGCAGCTATGCATGATGTTGTGAGACAACATGTGTAACAATACATTCACATATTTCGTCAGCTGATACATGTGATACATACTCTCTGCATCCTGTACTGCAGTTTTCTCACTTCAAAGAGCCAGCTCAGACTTCAGTTCACGTGTATATGCTGTTAGTTCGGCTCAGGTGAAGGAAATTTGCGGCTGTTGGCTCAAAGTTTTACCCTTTCTTAATGATTTCTTGTTGTAATCATTCACGCATAGATAGTTCAAAAGCCTGGTCAGATGCTTCAGTTTGATTTGTCGTTTCAAAGTCGTTGCTGATGTCGCTGACGTTCTGATTAGTTTTTTTGGGTGCATAAAACGCGGGATGTGATTTTTTGCACTGCACTGCACTGATTTGTTCATAAAAGTCGTTCAAATGTTCATATGTGAAAGCTTCAGCAGTACCATCACTGGACACCATTTGCATGCTGAGTGCTGGTGCTGCTAAATCTGGTGCCATTCTTCTTCTGATGTTTTTTGGAGGTTGCCAAACAGCTTTTTGATGCATTACCCCCACCTTCTAGTGATGCTCACGTTCATTATTTGCAAATGGTTCACTGTTCAAAAAAAATAAGCCCATTCAATGAACAGCTTCATGCCAAACACTGCTCTACTGTGTTAGGAAAATGTCACTGACAGGATGAATGTGTCAGTTACTATTATTAGGGTGAAAACAACTTGAGCTAACATGATGTTGAATGAAATCAAAAAAAAGGAATTCAGGATTATTATCTGGTCAGCGTATTCAGCTGAATTTAATGGGTATGCTATTATTTTTTCTTTTTTTAAATGCCCTGCTGTACCAACTTTTGGCTCTGGCCAGAGTCTGAAGTAAATTGAATCTCTGTTAAAAAGTCAGTAATATACATCACCCTTCCTCCTGTCGCTCACGTCTTGTATTTTAATTGGTTGTAAGAAAAGACATCCCAGGGTTCTAAATACAAACCCATGCTGAAGAACATTGTCAGGGTTGAATAAACATCTACACTGTAGTCCTCTGGAGCTTAATAAATTTTGACGAGGGCCGGGGTTGGGGGTGATTAAAATTCCATTGTGGCCCGTGTGCGACTGGCAGGTCATATTCATTCACTAACAGAGCAGCGGGGCAAGCTTGAACCATACTGTAATTACCAGCTTTCCATCAGAAAAGAGTAGATGCAAAATGAGATATGCAAATTGGACCCTTCACTGTGGAAGGGATCAACTGTGAGGATTAGTGACAAGGCGATTAATCAGAACTGATTTGCATATTTTGCATGAAGGGTTAGACTTACAAATTGGATCAATAGACCCAATAACCACAAGCCCAGTGAAGGAAGAAGGTCAAAATTATACTGCTGGTCTGTTTCTGAGTTTTTAAAGCTCCATATTTTCCTCTTCTCCTGTGTTTTATTTGAAATTTTGATCCATCAGAAGATATATTTCTGGTTTTAAGAACCCAAAACCATCTCAGTGCAGTTTTACACCTCCTCTCTCAGGCTTCTCTCTGGAGCTCTAGTAACAACTGGTCAGTCAGCCAATCAGAAGAGAGGAGGCTTCTGATTGGCTGACTGTCTTCTGAGTCCAATAAAAATATAGCAGATTTCAGGTAAACAATCAAATCCTGCAAGTTTGATTGTGGGTCCAGGTGGGCGGGGCTTGGGGCATGGCTGAGAGCGCCGACTGCTTTGTTGTGACATCACAAAGTTACAGAAGTCCTGACAGCTGGTTTTAAGGCTCAGTTTCTGAATACAGGCTGTGTGCATTTCTCTGTGGACTGAGGCTTTGATACTTTCACAGTATTAATATAGAACCTAGACCTGCTTTATAATTTATAGATGTTGCCATTTTTGTAAACTCTAATAATAAGTAACATGTAAAATTATTATTAATTTATATTTAACTTTGTTTGCAGTTTGTTCAATTACTCAATGTGTAAAAAAAACACAGCTTATGCATACTCAACAAGAAGGCTGAATGTTTATCAGTTATCTAATGAGAGCTACAGGCTGCTACCCCAGCACAGAACTGTGTACAACAAAATCAAATGAAACAACAAAACAAAGTCAAGTCATCAAATATACAATATGCCTTATAAACAAGGATAGACTGCAAAGCCTGGGTGAGAATATGAAACTAAAATCATCATTCATTCATCTTTGGATATAAACCTCTGAGTATGTAACTCCAGAAAGCCTCTTTACATTTCCTGAGGAAGTTTACGTCACCATCTCTGTAACCAAAATGTATTAATACTGATAAAGAAAAAAATCCATCAATGAAGGTTTGGCCCCTGAAAAATTCATCAATACATTTTTCTTTTATGTATATTTATTATCATATTTGGTTCTTTGTTACCTGAGCACCAGTTGGCTGGTGAAGTGGTGACAGCAAAGAGATATTTTTAGGAAGACTCCATTTTAGGTGTAAGAGAAACAGAGTCAGAGCTGAAAACATAAGAATGAGCACTCACAGCTCATCTGCCTCCTGACTTGACATGTTGTCAAGAGCTTTGAAGGCAAAAAGGCAAAAAGCTGAGGAGAGTTGATTTAGTGACCCATAAATAATGAAAAACACTTTGCTGTGCATTTTCCTCTCTTGAGCGCTTGCCAAACTTGTGATGAATAATTAACAAAACAACCAACACGGCACGCAACAGCTACATGAAATGAAACACAGTGAGAAATCTGCCCGTAATTAATAAGCCTGTACACATATATGGTTTCCCCTCTTCATGTCCAGTATGTTCATCAGCTGTTTTCCTCCCTGTAGCTCTGCCAGTTTTTCTGATGCACAGATTCCTTACGTTTGTGCTAGTTTCTGATTT